TTTCCATTTTGAGCTTTCTATTTAATAGAAAAACTTTTTAGAAAAGGTTTTTGTATTTTTCCCTGAGGAAGGGGTATTTGTGTTTGTGTGTGAATACGTATGAAGAAGTGTTTCATGTATGGTTGTGTACATAAATACATAACTGAGGCATGCTTTTTATAGTCATTATTATGTAGGGAATATTATTGTCAGTTTTGCTGTTCTTTCCCCAAATGCCAGTTGAAGCCATAACAATTTTTATATTATTGACTAATAGAGTGTATCTTGTATCTGTATATCTCAAATTGTTGCTGATGAGTTCTTAAGCTGTATTTAAGGTGACAGGTTTCTTTGCAAAGAAATCTGATCAATATCTAAGTCTAATGGATGAAATGTGAAACTTTCCATAAATGAACTACTTTTGCAGTTTCTCCCCCATTTTTCTTTTTAAACAGGTGAGAAACCTCATAGATGTCACTTATGTCCATTTGCATCTGCTTACGAGCGTCACCTGGAAGCCCACATGCGTTCCCATACAGGAGAAAAACCATACAAATGTGAATTATGTTCCTTCCGCTGCAGTGATCGAAGTAACCTATCCCATCATCGAAGGCGCAAGCATAAAATGGTACCAATTAAAGGTACTAGGTCTTCCTTAAGCAGCAAGAAAATGTGGGGAGTTTTACAGAAGAAAACAAGCAATCTGGGCTATAGCAGAAGAGCATTAATCAACTTAAGTCCACCTTCCATGGTGGTTCAGAAGCCAGACTACCTTAACGATTTTACCCATGAAATCCCAAATATCCAGACTGACTCCTATGAAAGTATGGCAAAACCCACATCAACTGGTGGCCTACCAAGAGACCCCCAAGAACTCATGGTTGACAACCCCTTAAATCAGCTCTCAACCCTGGCAGGACAGTTGTCTAGTTTGCCACCGGAAAACCAAAACCCTGCATCTCCTGATGTAGTTCCCTGCCCCGACGAGAAGCCTTTCATGATGCAGCAGCCTTCTGCCCAAGCAGTGGTTGCTGCCGTGTCAGCGAGTATTCCTCAGAGCTCCTCTCCCACAAGCCCTGAGCCTCGGCCGTCACATAGTCAGAGGAACTATAGTCCAGTGGCAGGTCCGAGCAGTGAACCAAGTGCCCACACGAGTACTCCCAGCATAGGGAACAGCCAGCCGAGCACTCCGGCTCCGACCCTGCCTGTCCAGGATCCGCAGCTTCTACACCACTGCCAGCACTGTGATATGTACTTTGCCGACAATATCCTTTACACCATTCACATGGGATGCCATGGGTATGAAAATCCTTTTCAGTGTAACATATGTGGTTGCAAATGTAAAAACAAGTATGATTTTGCCTGTCATTTTGCAAGGGGACAACATAACCAACACTGAGAATAATCACATTATGCTTTACTTGGTTTTACGTTTTGGTGTTTTATAGTTTTGTTTATTGTTTATTTTTTTTGGGGGGGGGGTGGGCTTATTCCTAATTAGGTGACTGCTAATTTAAAGTCAATATATTTATAGAATATAAGTTTGACGGTGGAAACGATTTTTTTTTTTTCCATAAAAATCTGGTCAGGCTCATTTATGTATTAGAGCAGTGAGACATATTGGTGTCTATTTTTTCCTTTCACTTAGTTGAGAATTGGAGTGCAATCATAATCCCAACAGGTATTCATTTAAATTTCCCGTATTTATGGTCCACAAAAGCTTCAGAGCTTACTGATACTCTTGGTATTTCAACATATACATTGCAGCTAGATATTATTTCTGCCATATTTCAGCATGGTGGAATAAGTGTCTCTTACAAAATCTGTTAGCAGTTTATTTCAGTGTTTCGTAGAATTGCCTTTAACCTCATTCTTTGTCGACGTGCTGTTTCATTCACATTGCTGAGCATTCGCAGCACTTCATTTCACCTGATAGTCACAGAGCTATTTATTGTAGCAGATCCTTCTTTTTTTCCCTCCCATACGGGGAAATGTAAAACAGGTCATTCTTTTTAAAGTTACAAAAATATGAGGTAAAAGTTTTGAAAAGAAATGAAAACGAAATTGAAAAAGTGGCTTAATACTTAAAATACCTCTTTATTCAATTTCTAGTTTAAATATGTGTCAGTTTTCTATTGGGTTCTTTTTATTCTGGTTTATTGTAAAAAAACCACATGAGAATGCTAGAAATATCAGAGGATTATCTATAAAGATGCCTTTTTTTTTTTTTGAACCTTTCATTTAAATTCTTCACTCTGATATCATTTGTGTCTGGTGAGGTTGATAAGTATACTGAGAATCTGTTCTTCCCCCTATTCCTTTGATGACCAAAGAGGTACACTGGGAGTCCTCCATCTTACTCCTCGGAAATGCAGTCCTTCAAAAGAAAAACAAAAATCTCTGAAGTTTCCATTTCCTGCCTATTTACTGCCTGTAATTTCCAAGAAGAGGCGGTTATAGAAACACATGGGAAAATAGAATGGTGAAGTGTAACACTTAAAAAAAATGAGAATGTGTCCAAAACAAATCCTGGTTTTCCCTCCAGAATTGGCCATTTAAAATATTTTCTGTGAATTCAATTTGTAATGCTTATTTGCAGCTCTCAGTTTTTCATGTACAGAACTATGTGGAGACTGAATCGTCGCCTTAGTAGGAAAGGGTACAAAAATGGGAAAATAGATATAAAATGCATTTAAATGTGATATTTGTTTACAAAAATAAGACTTGCTAAATCTAGAATAATTTTGAATATGAGGCTATTGTTTTTATATTGTGTAATAACTAGCTTACTCTAAAGAGAGCTTGGTCAAACAATAAAATATATTGTTACTAACTGTTGGTTTCTGTGTACTTTACAAAATTTTCATTTTTAATTTGGTTCAAATCTTGAAAGTGTTACTAATTGGCTTCCTAAAGAGAATATTCTAACTATGAAGCATTTATTAAGCAAAAAAGAACTTCACTCAGTTCAATGCTGAAATAACTGTATCTAGTGTGTAGTTCCTATTGTGAATGGAAAGGTAGGCGTCTGCAAAACCCCCATGTGCCAACTTAATGGAGCTCCTGCCCTCTCTTCCAAATGCTAGAAAGCCATTAAAATGAGTTCTCTTTGTTTAATATCAATCGAAACTAACCTCAACAGCATTGTTCAAAGAGCAGCAAGGAATCTGTCCAAACTATAAATAACTCTTCCTTGTCAAATCTGAGGCTTCTGAATCTACCATTGTTTCTCTTGTTGCTTAAATCACTCATTGCTCAGATCAGCTTGAATGCAACCATTTCCAAATGTGGAACTTGGCTCTAGTATTTATTTATTGCCAGATAGAAACAGGTTGCTGTCATTTGGAAGCTTTTGTAATTATTTTCTTCCTTCTCACTTTTATTCTTCACATAAAAGCAATACCCGAAGATAGAAAATGAAAGCTTTCATTAAAGAAAAAGAACCCTCTTGTTAAAACCAGTTTATTAACTCTATATTCTGAGCCAAATAGTGACAAACACTTTTTTTTTTCTGGCAACTAAAGACAGATGTTTTGAAGGTACATTTTTAATTTAAACAAAATATCTTTTTTCGTAATTATTAACTAGAATGTATAATTTTAATTTTCCTATGACTTAAAAGAGCACAGTTGGTATTCCAAAGGTGTCAATGCTTGAGAGCTACAATTAATTCTAAATGCACTAAAGTTTTTGAATCAAATCTACCTTATAAACTTTTTTAGTAGTGTATTTTTAAAAAGATTTTAGGATTTTATTTAAATTTTCTGTGAGTTAAATTTTATACATGGAAAGATACTATCTTCCATTAAGTGTTGAATATGTTTCTCCCATTTTATTTTTAATCAAATATTTTATAGAAATGAGCTGCTAGGAAAAGTTGAACATGAACTATTTATAGTACTTTGCTGTTAACAGGCAATGTTCTGAAACAATGTATTTTTGTTCAGTGAACATAAGTTTAGATTTTTAAAGTTGGTAGATAATTTATCTCCACTAATATTTTTTTAAGAAACTGTGAAGAGATTAACAGGGAATAATTTCATTTCAGATTTTACTAATATAGTATGTAGCTGCAACTTCTTGAAATTCAAGTAAAGGCTAGACTTTTACTTTGAATATTTTCCAGTGCTATTTCATTTTAGAAATAAGTGTTTGCCATTCATCTGCAGAATTATTTGACAAAGGGAATATTACTTTAAAAATGTTGAGATAAACCTCATTTTAAGTTCTACAAAAATATTTATCAAGTGGATGTATTATTAAAAAAAAAAATTCCCTGCTAAGGACTTTTTCATTATATAGTCTTAGAGGGTATATGATTTCTAGAACTTGTTTTTGTTAATATGTACTTTGATGTAAAGAACATATTTTGTATGCAAAACTAAAACTCGAGTATGGTTGCAAAACACTATATTGTTTAGGGATTCCAGAGAGCAGTTCAATGCTGAAATAACTATATCTAGTCTGTCGTTCCTATTGTGAATGAAGCTTTGCTTTTTTGCTTTTGTAATACATAAATAAAAAAAATAACACTTTCTGTTGATCTCGATTTTTCTTCTTTGAAAGCTAGGATCCAATTTTTAAGTAATTTTCCAGTATGTAAACTGCTAATAATAATAATTTAAAAAGCAGGTTTTATGGCTACATTGGTTTGAATTTGTAGAACGCTTTACCCATGAGAATACCGGTCACATGAGTTAAAAACAAAAACGGTTCCTTGCATCCACATCTTGTCTCTTTCCTACTTTCTGCTTTCCTGAGGATCCACTCAACAAGACCCCTGTCCCCACCAGCCCCACCCTGAGGGTTCTGACACACATGTGAGGAAACCTGTTTCTGATGCCTAATTACCCATGTCACGTCTGCCAAGTGACTGAAGTAATTTCTGTTATGACAAATCTTTAGGGTGGAAGGTTACCTTTTTTTTTTAATAAGTCTTTGGCAATTCATGTCACTGGGTGAGAAACCACCTAGTAGCACAAAACAATTTTAGTTCACATAATCTTAACCAAAATTGGACATTTGATTGGAAGTTCAGAAGTTTTAATGTGGCTTTGAAAAATATTTCCGGACAATGTTATCTTTCTCATAATGAAAAAAAGAAATAATATCTGGTATGTGGATGGTTTCTTGAGAGCACAGGTATTTTTTGTTTCCATGTTTTAGATCTTCCAAAAATTCTGCTTTGAGCTTGTTGAGTTCTTCTGCTAGAAGCTTCAGGTTGAAAGGAAGCACTTGTTCATCTAAAATGAAAAGATACTCAAATTATTTGTGTAACCTAAAGCAAGTTGGGCTGTCTAGTAACATCAGGAAATGAATTTGAATACTTCAGACAAACCAATCAGCTTATTCTGTTAATAATCACAGTCAAGTAGAGGTACTATAGAGCTATAGAGACAGGGTCACACTGACGTGACAACCAATCTTTCCAATATCTGGCTATGAAATGCATGAGCAGAAAAGATAAGCCGGAAAGGGATTTTTGTTGTTGTCTGACAAGATAGTTGATTTAGAATCTTCTCGAACTAACAGGTAGGCAAAAAAGGAGAACTGAAAGATGACAATTTGTTTTGAAACTGATAAATAACCTCTAGAGCAGTTGTCCCATCTATAACTTTCTACAATGATGAAAATATTCTGCCCCTATTCAAACCAGCAGCCACGAGTCACGTGGGTAATGTGATTGATTTATTACAGCTTTATTGAGATGAAAGTTGCATACCATACACTTTACTCCTCTAAAGTATGATTCAGTATACCTGCAGATACGTGCACCTATCCCCACATCCATCTGGGAACACCTCATTGTCTCAGAACCCTGCATTAGCTCCCACCCTCCCACCCTGTCCCCCACCCGACTCCAAATCCCTAAGCAACCACTAATGTACTAGTGTGGCTCTCGATTTACCCCTTCTGGGCATTTCACATAACCGACTCAAGCAATAATATGTGGCCATTTGTGATGGCTTCTTTCACTTTGCATACTGTTTTAAAGGTTCATCCTGGCTACTAGGAATAATGCTGACATAAATATTTGTGTACATATTTTTATATGAACATATGTTTTCAATTCTCTCAAGCAGATAACCTGGGAGTGGGATTGCTGGGTGGGTCCCATGGTAACTATGTTTAATCGTGTGAAGATCTGCTTGGCTGTTTGCCAAAGCAGCTATCCACTTTCCATCCCCCCCAGTCCTGTACAAGGGTTTGCATTTCTCCACATTCTCACCACCACTTGCACTTTTTGATTCTGGCTGGCCTGGTGGATGGGCACTAGCATCTCATCATGGTTTTGATTTGCATTTCCCTGAGGACTACTGATGTCAAATGTGTTTTCTTGTGATTTGGCCATTTGTGTATCTTCCCTGGCGAAATATCTATTTAGACCCTTTGCCCATTTTTAAAATTGGGGTGTCTTGAACCCTGGGTGGCGCAGCGGTTTAGCACCTGCCTTTGGCCCAGGGCGCGATCCTGGAGACCCGGGATCGAATCCCACGTCGGGCTCCCGGTGCATGGAGCCTGCTTCTCCCTCTGCCTATGTCTCTGCCTCTCTCATTCTCTCTCTCTCTCTCTCTCTCTCTCTCTCTCTCTCTGTGTGTGTGTGTGTGTGACTATCATAAATAAATAAAAATTTTAAAAAAATTTAAAATAAAATTGGGGTGTCTTTATTGAGTGGTGCAAGTCTTTTACCTATTTTGGATACAAGTCTATGAGATACATGATCTGCAAGTATTTTTCCCAATCTGTAGGTTGTCTTCACTTTCTTGATGGTGTAAGGGAACTCATTTTCTAATTTAAGGATAGATCTAGAAGCTAGTAGCACCTCCTTCACACACACACACAAAAGTTTTTTAATGGGCGGAAAGTGAGTCAAGATACTCACTATGAGTCAAGCTCATAATCCTAGTCCCTTCCCCCTTCTCCCCCTCTCTTCATTTTATTCAGAAGACAAGAAAGGCAAATGGTTGAGAGAGAACTCCTACAACTGTTTTTGTTTCCAATCTAATTGTGTTGCTGTTTCTGTTCCAGGCCTCTAGTTTTCAAGCTTTGGACTGTAACCTACAAGCGAGATGCAGGTTGCAAGCAGTGTTTTTCTAAAATGAAATCAAATAGAACGCAGTAGAGCTCACTACACATGTGAGGGTTTTGTGAAACTTGTTGCTACACATGCATGTGGTCATATACTGGGCTACACACTAGGGTACAAGATAAGATCTGCTTATGGATACAAGATAAAATCTGCTTATGGATCGTGATAAAAAAAAAACGTATAAAAACCACTGTATGGTTAGGGTTCTGTTTCCTTTTTCAACATTCCAAACTTTTGTAAAGGTATTAATACTCAATGCTAGAAGGGTGCCTGGGTGGCTCAGTTGGTTAAGCATCTGCCTTCTCAGGTCATGATCCCAGGATCCTGGGATCAAGGCCCACATTGGGCTCCCTAATCAGCGGGAAGTCTGCTCCTTGCTCTCCCTCTGCCCCTCCCCTGACTTGTGCTCTGCTCTCACTCGCTCAGTGTCTCAAATAAAGTCTTTAAAAAATACATAATCAATGCCGGTGACATGGGAACCTTAAGAGAAAGCACGCACTAAAGTCAGCCTTGACTCTGAACCCAGGCTGTCCAAGTATCTTCAGCCTTTGGCAAGTTACTTGATCCTCCCAGAACCTTCATGTCCCCATCTGTAAAATTACACTCACCTCATGGGGCTGTAAAGACTGGCAATAGGATGTATAAGACACCTGGCATATAAAAGCTCAAGAAATGTTAAGCTGTTGTTAGGTTTTGAATCAAAGTTTAAATATTGCAAAGAGTTCAATATTTAAAACCTAAAGGTTATTTTCTAGAACTAGCCCATACTACATCCAAGATCAGACTGATGATATGCTAAGCTTGCCGATTTGACGTGTGGCCCCTGACCACCTCTTCTGGTTCCTTCGCCTGACTCAATAGCTTCTGTTCTGCTCTAGAACATACCAAACAACTTCACCTCTGGACTTCTGCATTTGTGTCCACTGCCTGGAATGATCTGCCACCAGATAACTATGCTTGCTCTTTCGGTTCATTCATCTCTCGGCTTACAGGTCATTGCTGAGAAGCCTTCCTCGCTACTCTTTAAAAAATATCTTAAGCCAGGAGGGAAGAACGAAATGATTTGGAAGCTACCTTCTACTTCTCCCAACACTCTCTGCTACCTTACCCTACTCTATTTTCCTGCAGGGCATCAGCAGATACTCCAGTATTTGGCTGTCTGCTTAGTATAACATGCTGTTCCCTGCCGATGCCCCGGTATCTAGAATAAAGTCTCACACAGAGTAGCCACTCAACAAAAACGTACTGAATGAATACTTTGAATACTTTGTTTTAGGGGTAGAATTTTTAGTTTTATATAACCAGGCTGCATACTGAAGCTGAAAACATGATAAAAACATTAGGACGGAAAACTAATAAGCCACCCAAAGAGTCAAGGGAACAGGACTAGCAGCAGAGTGGTATCAACTACACCCCATGCGAATATGCAACATACCTTTTGCTTCCTTCATTGTCTGAGAGACAATCCTTCGGAGCATCTGATCAGCTTGATGCAGAACATTAGTTGAGGAAATGATCCTGTCCGTTTTCTATGTGATACAGACATTGTTATAGGAAGTTTTATAAAAGAGATGGCTAATGGGTGACACGTATTGGATAAGACTAAAGGGGGAGCTAAGGTGGCTTTTCTGTTCCAGTTGTCCCTCCCTAGGAGATGGTCCCATCTGGGGAGAGGGTGCTGGTAAATGTCTACTAACGGGCTCTCCAGAAACAACAGCAACACAACCCGTTTCCAGTGTTTGTCAATATCTGTGGTGCAAATATTCCTGTCCTTGCCCGTTTCAAGTTACCAACTCCACCATAATGTCAATCGGCTCTGACCAGCTGGTACACCACTGCAGGCAGGTGTCCGAAGCTGAATGCTGCTGAGATGCCAAGGCAGTGACAAAGCATTTTTCACATTTTACTCATATTTTACACTCCGCTCAAAAAGACCTTCCTTCAAAAAGTCATGCCTTCCCGTTTATACTAAATCTATACTGGAAGATTTACCTTTTGTTCCACATTGTCCTCAATATATGTTACTGGATTTTCCAAAGCAGTAAGCAATAAGCCAGTCAACTTCAGGCTATAAGAGAAGGTGAGATAAAATAAATCCTTGTATCAAACTTTTTTTAAAAAAAAACTTGTATTTTTGAATACTAAATAGCATTCTAGAGGAAAAAACGTGCTATAACCTAAAGATCTTAAGCCAAGATGGAAGAACGAAATGATTTGGAAGCTACCTTCTACATGCAAAATCTAAATGCAGAAGCTTAAAACAAATTATAAGGCAAAAGATTCTCCTTATTTAAAATATACTAATTTCCTAAGACTCCTTTCAATAAGCTTTCAAAAGACATTGTTTTCCCTCATTAAGTGCTAAACTCTAGGCTACTACAGGTCTATTTTAGTCCCTACGGAAGGATACTGTCTGTACTTTCTGGCCTTTGCTTGTTTACTGGATGTAGAGTAGCCACGTTCCTTACTGGTCAAGGGGCCACAGAGCATTGAGGTAGAATTCATTCCTTCATTTAATGAGACTTTAATCAGTATCTTCTTATATGAAAAATATACAACCAGGTAGGTATATGAGACTATGTGCTAGCCTGGGGGAACAGCAAAATCCCTACCCTAAGCCTAGTAATGATTACATTATCGGTCTCAATAATTAAGCAAAAAACTGTAATTTCAGACAGTGACAAGTGGATGAGTGAAGAAAATAAACAAAATGTTGGTATTAAAGGAGTGACGGATTAGTCTAACGAACACTCTTCACGTTGGTTACGATGGTCGGGAAAGTCAATCATAAATAGGTGGGAAGGGTAGGGGGAATCCCAGGTACAAAGGCCCTGAGGCAAGATAAACCTCCTCACATTCATGGAATAAAGGCCAGTCTGGCTGAAAAATAGCAAGGGGGGAATGTAGTAGGATGTGAGGTTGGAAAGTTAACTGGGGTCAGAGCATGTTATTTATGGTAATGAGTACGGATTCTACTCAGAGTGTAGAGGGTGGCATTGAAATAATTTAGGCCAGCCTGAGTGATGAGTAAACACAGAGTTAAATCTCAACCTCAAGATGATCTTTCTCACGCTGAAGAGAGACTGCACGGGGTCCAAACCTTGGGTCTGCCACCTACTCCCTGGATGTGTTATCTTACTTGGGCTGGTTATCGCATCCCTAAAATGGGGATAATTCTATTTATCTTCAAGAGTTGTTTTGTTAGGATTGAATGAGATTATACATAGGAAGTGTTCAGAACATGCCCAATACGCAGTATCTGCTGAACAGCCGTTGCTGTGAGCAGCAACACTACTAGCAGTAATGGTGGTTAAGTAGGAGCATTTCATAAAGGCCCAGAAAAGGTACATTTGTCGGATCATCTTTCAATTTCTAATGCAGGGCCACCAGACTTGCAACCACCCCTTCACTGATGCTGTGACTATTCTGGATATGTGAGAACAGGTAGCCGGGTTCCGAAGACTCAAGACAAAACAGATTATGCTAAGTGTGGGCAATAGCATGGGAGAAACTCACACCCTTTCTTGCTTTTGGCAAGAACTGGCCCTCATTGGTCTCAAAGCATTGGTAACAGTAGGACAGTCTCATGGGATAGATATCTCGATGCCTCAGCCAGCCAATCACTTCCAAAGGAGAAAATGTTAAGTATTCCAGAATGAGTGGCAATCAGCCGGTTATGTGCCCGCTCAAAGGTTCAGGATATTATAAGTCAAAATTAGAAACCTCAGCAGTAGCTTATTTCATAATCCTTATACACTATGGTCACTTATATCTACCTTTTTCTTAGTACGTTCAAGTATATGTTATGAAACGCATGGAAACTATCCTGGGAACTGAATTTTGAAGAATGAATTTTTAAAATGAGCCTTTTAAAAACTGCTGATCCCCTGTGGACAACACTTAGGCAGGGGCGAAGGAAACGTGGGCAATACAGCTCTAGAATTCTGCTCTCTGATACAACAGCCAACAAGCCACAAGAGGCTATTTAAGTGGGAAGCAATTAAAATAAAGTTTAAAATTTGGCTGTCAGAGGCACTGGCTATGTTTCAGGTTCTCAATAGTCGCATGTGGCCAGCAGCTACCACGCTGGATGGTACAAATACAGAACATTTCCATTACCCCTGAAAATTCCATTAGAAATGCACTGCTGCAGAACTCCCAAAACATAGATCGTGAGTGAAAGCATTAGCACTGCAGCCTACCAGCCTCACACGTACACAGGGGATATCAACAGGGAGGTTTAAGGCAAAATTCGGACTCCACCACTTCTACTCTTTTTCTTTCTGTAGCAAAGTTACCGGACAACCTTTTTAGACTGTGCCACTTTAGCAAGAGTTTCAAAAATGCTTCCTACTCTGCATCCCCTGCTCTGATCTCTGTGACAACACAGTCTTAACAGGAGTACATGTGGGCCGCCCGGGTGGCTCAGCAGTTTAGTGCCACGTTCAGCCCAGGGTGTGATCCTGGAGTCCCGGGGTCGAGTCCCACGTCGGGCTCCCTGCGTGGAGCCTGCTTCTCCCTCTGCCTGTGTCTCTGCCTCTCTCTCTCTCTCTCTCTCTCTCTGTGTCTCTCATGAATAAGTAAATAAAATCTTTATAAAAAAAAAAACCAAGAGTACACATCTCAGCCGCCACATGCTCGATGACGCTGGGCAAACTAACTTTCTTACTTAGTGGCCTCTTCTCTGTAAGGGAAAAAAGATAACAATCTCTCTCCCAGACTTGTGTAAAGATTAACCAAGTGGATATGAGTCAAGAAATGAACACAACGGCTGGCTCAGGGAGGCACCCAGCAAAGGTTGGCTCTGTGTGGGATACCTGGCCTCGGAAGAACATGTTGTACTTGGAATTATGAGGCTGTTGTGCTCCCAAGCATTTTTCTCAGGGTTGGGCTTTTCTATCTTTCCTTCCATCAGGTGGATGGTCTCAGCAGGCAGGGCCTGGGGTCTCTGGCCATTCCTCTGTAAACAGGTCTCAAGAGAACAATCTAAAAAGAGCTGGCAAAAACCTAATGAATCTGAAAACAATATTAAACCACAAAATTACTGCTGTGCTGTTTTTTTTTCCAAAGTGTGACATAAACAAATTAGACAAATTATCCTGGTGGCAGCAGAAAAACCATTTGCAACGCTGAACATCTAGCTTTGAAAATTAAGTACATTTATACTCCCTTCCTGATCCAATTACATTCTCACTAAAAACAGTGGTGATTTTGACATGCAAACAAATGTCTGTAAGGAAAAAAAAATATTTTAATTACATTTCCGAGCCAGTTGATAGACTTCGTATCTCATACTTTGGTAATAAAAGTTGTCATCTAGAATCAAAAACAAAGGTCTAGAAACCGCAGTCTTCGTTAAGAGGTAGCAAGACTGGGTTTCCAGCGCAGCAGAAGATACCAGATCTTGGTGCTTCAAGCAAGTTATAAAATCCTCCCACATGGCTGCAGTCCTGTTGGGTGGGGCAGACACCTGACACCCATTAATGACAGCCATCAAGAAGCATTCTAGGTACTTCAACAGTTCTTGTCGAAGCAATTTCCATTGGGATGGCTAGAAAAGATGGAAGAATTACAAGTTATATTAGGCTTTGGCCAGTAAGGTGGTCATGCTTATTGCCACCCACCCCACATGAACATTTCAGCTCACGGTGCTACACCATTTGGAATTCTCTGAGCACAACCTGTTTTGCCATGTCTCCATATCTCCGCCTATACTGTTTCCTCTGCCCCGAAACTCCTACTCATTGAAGTTAGATTTCTGCAATCTCCTCAGACTCAACCACATAGGAGGCAGCTCAGACTCTCCTTTGTCTACAGGATAGCCTGGGTCTCCACTCTAGCAGGGTGTTTAGGTATTTGTTTGCATCTCTCTCTCTCTCTCTCTCTCTCTCTCTCTCTCTCTCTCGGCTAGGTCAATAGTCCACTGTATACCCAGCCTCCAGCAGAGGGTCAGAAACCTAACAGGAGCTCCAGAAATGTAAATGAAATGAATAAGTGACTAGATCAAAGAATGAAAAACTGTGACCATCCAGGAGAAATAAAGAGCCAGAATCAATATCCTGCCAAAATAAAATAGTCTGTCTTAGATATAGCTATGCTCATTTGCCCTTGAAATGAGAAAAGTTGTGGACAGAAAAGGTCAGCTGAAAGGTGTTTGGGGACTTCAGGCTAACAACAGAGTTGAAATGGGATGGGGGAAGATAGAGAAAGTAGACTGAAGGGAAGAGACTGATAGGAAAGTAGACTGTAGGGAAGTTATCTCTAAATAACTTGAGAATACAGGTAATCTTATGCTGCTCAAGGGCTATGGGCAGCAGGGACAGAGTTATGAGGTCCAGGCCGGAGAGAAAACAGGAACATGAGATAAGGATCCCTATCCCGCCTGTCCATCCCTACCGCATCACTGAGATTACAGCGCATATAACAAATACATCAGCTAAACCTACTAAAAAGGAAACATGATCACTTCCTAGAAGGTTAAGATTTCCTACCCATGGTGACTGGATGAGTCCCATGGCCTTTGTCTCTAGGGGAGAGTGGAAAAAATGTAACAATAAAAGTGAGTGAAAAAGCCCAGCAAATATAACGATCCTTCTCAACAATGTTCAGCATTCACCCAAGTGGTGAAAATACTATCATCCAATTAAATCTAGTGCCACCAGGGACTTGATGCTGTATTTATCCTGAAATTAAACAAGAATAGGAAAGTATGGGCAGCCCGGGTGGCTCAGCGGTTTAGCGCTGCCTTCGGCCCAGGATGTGGTCCTGGAGACCAGGGATTGAGTCCCATGTCAGGCTCCCTGCATGGAGCCTCCTTCTCCTGTGTCTCTGCCTCTCTCTCTCTCTCTCTCTGTCTCTCATGAATAAATAAAATCTTAAAAAAAAAGAATAGGAAAGTATATATAAATTTTGCTGGAGCAGTCCCCAATTTTCCATCCACCACATGTACTATATTTATGCATATATATTTACAGAGTGGAATCACATCACATTTACATGTTATTTAGGTGCATCCATCTACACTATGGTATTAAGCCACAAATATTTAAAATTTTCAGAATCTGTTAAAGAGGATTTGCTCTGGAGTGAGAATGAGATGGGAGACATGAATCTATTCTTCCCTGAGTGTTCTGTTTCCATGTGCCCCTCCAAAGGAGGAGCCGGGCTCAGCGTGATTTGAAGGCTTAAAGAGAAATATCCTTGGAACACGTTGGTCACTACACACAGGCCCACTACTTTGTCTGGTGGTCACCTAAGAAACGACCACTTTCTCTTGACTGGCAGATGCAGATTTACCCCGAGATAAATGAGGAGTGAGCTCCAGAAGCCGGGCCCTTCGTTGGCACAGCTTTCTACTGTCGTGGGAGGGACCCTGAGAATTTTGTTATTTAAAAATTCTGTATCCTTTCTCTTAAAAAAAAATTTCCCCGAATTGTATGAACTTGGAAGACCCACAAAGATTCGCACATGGCCAAAAAGACATGAACAGAAATTTCGCAGAGGAAGACACAGATGTGGCCAATATGCACATGAGAACATGCTCTGCATCACTGGCCATCAGGGAAATACAAATCAAAACCACAATGAGATCCCACCTCACACCAGTGAGAATGGGGAAAATTAAGACATGAAACAGCAAATGTTGGGAGAGGATGTGGAGAAAGGGGAACCCTCTGGCACTGTTGGTGGGAATGTGAACTGGTGCAGCCACTCTGGAAAACTGTGTGGAGGTTCCTCAAAGAGTTAAAAATAGACCTGCCCTACCACCCAGCAATTGCACTGCTGGGGATTTACCCCGAAGATTCAGATGCAATGAAACGCCGGGACACCTGCACCCCGATGTTTCTAGCAGCCATGTCCACAATAGCCAAACTGTGGAAGGAGCCTCGGTGCCCATCGAAAGATGAATGGATAAAGAAGATGTGGTTTATGTATACAATGGAATATTCCTCAGCCATTAGAAACGACAAATACCCACCATTTGCTTCAACGTGGAGGGACCTGGAGGGTATGATGCTGAGTGAAGTAAGTCAATCGGAGAAGGACAAACAGTGTATGTTCTCATTCATTTGGGGAATATGAATAATAGTGAAAGGGAATAAAGGGGAAAGGAGAAAAAATGAGTGGGAAATACCAGAAAGGGAGACAGAACATAAAGACTCCTAACTCTGGGAAACGAACTAGGGGTGGTGGAGGGGGAGGAGGGCGGGGGGTGGGGGTGACTGGGTGGCGGGCACTGGGGGGGGGGGCACTTGGCGGGATGAGCACTGGGTGTTATTCTGTATGTTGGCAAATCGAACACCAATAAAAATAAATAAATAAATAAATAAATAAATAAATAAATAAATAAATAAATAAATAAATAAATAAATAAATAAATAAATAAATAAATAAAAAGGTTCGACCACGGCGGGATGTTCAGCCGGCTGTGCTGGAGCTTCTAGGGGACTGCGCCCGTCGCTGCGGGATTTTCCCAGGACCCTACCCCCCGCGCGCTGCCGAACCCCACGCCGCCCTCAGCCTCGGGACAGGCCGCACAACGCACACGTGCCCCAAGGAGGCTCGCGAGCCTCTGCAGCGAACGACTCCAGGACGGAGTCACAGGCCCCACGCCCGGCGCGGCCCCTCCGTCCCCCTCCGCGCAGGCGCCGCGGCCCAGGCCCCGCCCACTCCGTCCTGACCAATGGCCGCGCGCTCGCTTCCTCCAGGAACGCGTCCGGCATGACGTCATCGTAGGCGACGACGCCGACGGCCCAGCCCTGCTCCTGCCGCAGCCGGTGGCGGAGGGCCCGCGCCAAGGTTGACTTTCCTGCTGCCGGCAGGCCGCAGAGGAGACAGAGGCCTATCCTCTGCGGCCGCTCGCCGCGCGCTCCCTTGGCGCCCCGGGCGGTCTTCATGCTGTCGCGGGAGACGGCAGGCGGCTGGCAGCGTCGTCCCCGGCACCGCCCGCCCAGCGCGCACGCGCAGTCTGGCTGCTGCGCCGCCGGGCGGGGAGGCCGGGCGCCGCTCCCAAGGCCGGCGCGGTGCGCGCCCCGCTGTCCCCGCGGCGTCCCCGAGGTCCGCGGAGCCGCCGCCGCTGCCGCCGACCGCTTGGGGGGCCGAGTCCTCGATGCCGGGGACACCTTGGCGATGCACTGCCTGACCCCCGGACATCGCCCAACGGGTCGACACTTGGACTACGTGCTCAGTTAGACGTAGCTTAGCCTCCCTGCTGCAAACTTGCAAGCCCCTGAGAATGGCACCTCGGCTTCGTGAAGGCCACGTCCTTGGGAAATCCCGGAGACCTTGCGCCTCTTCCCCTAGCGGTCTTCGAAGGGTCAGGTGGGGTCAGAATGTGAGGCTGCCGCTGCCTGCCCGACCCCGCGCTCCGCGGCCCCTGCTGCACGTGACGGGTGGAAGGACAAAGGGAACCCACACTTGCAGCGAGTGTGAGAAGCGGGGGCAGGATGGCAACATCCCTAGACCTGCGTTCCAGTGCATGCACTCAGAGGACAGTATTTTGGTGTTGAGAGAGAAATACCAAGCTGGGGAGAGGTATAAAATTCCTTGTATGGGGTTGTGATGTAGAGAAGTTGAATTCATGTTCTGACTTTCACCGTAAAGGGGATTCTTGGTCATAAAGTGGTGAGTTCAAAATGTGTGCAAACGAGGTAGAATGGAGGGGGGCGGGCAAAATGCAATCAGTAACGCGGTGTGAAACCTGATCTAATTGGACCGCTGAGCACGTCCACCTACATGTTCTCTGGAAGGTGAGCCAGGAGTTACACATACTCCTGGTATTCGCTCGTTGGTCCCCTGCAAGAACAAGTAAGGAATGTTAGGACAACGGGGCAGCAAGCCCAAGGTCTCCCAGCTGCAAGGCAGTGTGTGTGTGGGGGGGTGGTTGCTGAGTGCCCAAAGCCCAAATAAGTGACGTCAGCAACAAAGATACAGAACTTTGGGCAGAAATCTAGTCCATTTATTGAGCCTCAGCAGGCAGCTTCTTGGAACTTAAAAAGCTTTGCATACTGACAACGCGTGTCCCTACCGTTTCCTTTCCCTCCCACCTCTGTTGACTTAAGGAAAAAGATGAGTATACTAACAACTTGGGGGAGGGAAAGGACCCAAACTTTCATTGCTGTCAGATTCTAGTATCCGTATCCAGACGGATCTAATCTTTGGCGTCACTGCAGTATTACAGGGGCAACAGGCGGGACCAAAAAACAACCCCATCCCCAACAGACGTTTGTGGCCCATTTTACCTCCCTACAAACGTATGATCTGAAGGGGCACAGGTCACTTGTACTTGGGATGTTAAACTTGGTTTAAAACGCTCTTAGATTGGTGGTCACCGTGACTAAGTGCAGCCTCAGCTGTCATCATTCTGTCCCGTGTAGTCCTCAGAGGCAAGGAGGTTGGCCAGTACCCCTTCATGCTGGAGCAGTCACTCTGCTCTGAGCTTGGGGGGAGACGGCTTGACAGACCTCACCTTCCTAGTTGTCATTTCTGCCCCTCAGAGCCGTAGGTATTGCCCGGGACCTTTGCCTTGCCTACGTCTCCTGACTACCACGCAGGTTTTAGGAGGTGCCCGACACTCAATGCCAATTTTTGCCTTGGCTAAATTGTCCCATTTTGGAGGCTGTTCAATTAGTTTCTTGTCAGGAGAGTTTTCAGTTCACTTTGATTCAGCTGCCTGTTCCAAATACGATAATTGTCCTTAGGGGGAACTGGGAGCAAGTGAACACAGAACTATGTGTGACACCTGGGTTTGTCTCCTGATCCGTATAATGAGTAAGTCCTCAAAAGGGCACTTGAGAAAATCTGAGATTCCACCTTCTGTCACCCTCAGGATCTTCAGAAGCAGGGTTCCTCCTCTGGTGACTTTAACATTGTTTTTTTTTTTTTTGCCAACTCAGGACTTGAGTTCTTCAGCTGCTAACACACCACTAACAGTCTAGCTTGCCAAAGCGCAGATTTCCTTAATCACAGCAACAGTAGTAAAACCTCACCCCTTACCTCTAGCCAATTTCTTTTTGCTTCACTAATTCATAGAGCAAAACCTGGAACCTCTTTCCAGTCAGATTTTTAAAAATACCTTGACCTGGGCACCTGGGTGGCTCAGTTTGTTAAGTGTCAGACTCTTGATTTTGGCTCAAGTCATGATTTCGGGCTCAGGGACTGAGACCCATGGGGTTCCTTGCTCAGCAGGGAGTCTGCTTGACGATTCTCCCTCTGCCTCCCCCCCCCACGAATAAATAAATCTTTACAAAAAATACTTTGAGGTGCTTTACCTTATTAACCCAAATATGGCATTGCTAGCATGGTGTTCATGACTTGTCCAAACTCTATCCCTTCAGCTGCCACATCTCCATGGGCCTGTGAAAATGAACTGCCTTTCTTTGCTTTCCAGTGAGGTGTTTATTCATACCCATTTAAAAAAATCCTGTCAATTTCAGACCAGGGTAAAACTTGTGAGCTTACTGGCTCCTTTTCTATACTAAATATTTACAGTTGGATCATCTTCAAGTCACCAATCATCTTCTTGAGTTTTTTAAAAACCTAACAAAGGTATCCTGAACTGTGAGCCAGAGAGTGAAATGTTACCAGATACTGAAGTAATTTTACAATACGTACTGTTTCTGATTTCGCAAAGACCACTCTGCCCTTAGTATTGTAAGGTGAGGAAATGTGGTATTGTAAGGACAAGTAAATGACATACTATGCTGAAAGTAGGTAGTTAGACCCAGAATACTCTTAACTCTCATTAATGACCACCAAAGTGGCTGAAAAAGACCACAGGTACAGGAAGCAGTTTCTTCTAAGGAGGATCTGGGCCAACCTCTGATTTCAATGTCTTGGGTTTCTTAACAAACTTTCAAAACTCTTGGAAGAAAACACTTCCTAGAGATTTCCAATGAGCTTTCTCATTGTGTCCTTACTTCCTACCACTATTATATATTTAAAATAGTTAAAAAGATGTTTTAACAATCTCAACAGTCTAATAAATGAGCAATATTTTAACGCTATAGAAGTTACTCAATGTTCATTTGGTACCAGATACTGTTTTATGCTGGGTATCCGCCCATAAATAAAGACATCTGCTGTTAAAAAAAAAAAAAAAAGCTCATACTTTGAGAAAATTAAAAATGTCCACAGCATATAAATATAGCCACTATTTCAGAAAATTTGGCTGTTCACATTATATTGTATATAAAAGTACAGCTGTCAAAGGTGAAACTGGTATAGTTTCCCTTACCTGAAATCCATTATAATAACATATCCCTGGAGGAACATTAATAAATACATCTCAAAATTCTGTAATTTTGCATAAACATGGGCAATTTTTATAGGAAGCATGCAATATTCAAAATGAATTAAGAGCATATTATGTAGAAATTTTGATGGGTTACTTCTTCAGAATGTTACAAGTGTCAAACAACAAAAGATAACAAAATACATCTTATGGTTCATTTAGCTTGGATGCTCCTTTCCTTCATTATAAATTTACCAAAATTTATCAAGAAGAGTTGGTTTACCCAGACCTTAAAATTCTAGGTAAACAAGTGAAGTCACCACTGAGTTCCGAAAAATGTGGACTAAAACAATCCTATGAAATGGATGCATTATGAAAGTTTATTTAAAGCCAGGTATTTTGAAGCCTGGAGTGTATTTTTCCATACATACCATGTTACTCATGCTGGTTACCTTTTCAATATATTTTACTGGATCATTCACATCTGTGTACATTACTGCAGCTCCAAGCAGAATATGTTGTTAATTTTTTTAAATTATCAAGGTAAAACATACAAACAAAATCTCTTCGCAGTTTTCAATAATTTAAGGGAATAAAAGAGTTCTAATATCAAAATGTTTAAGAATCTGTTGTAGGGCACACACAGCAACAAGACAGTTACATGATTCCTATCTACCTCATTCCCTAATACCTCTATTTGTATTTTTAAAGAAATCTTTTCCCCTAAATTTAAATTATTCTCTTTAAGACTCTAGGGTAGTGATGGTGGGCAGAGGTAGGGAAGCAAGAAAAGCATGTAACAATAGCATGGGTTCTTTTTAAAAGCCACATACACTATCCACTAATAAAAGTCTACAGGGGCACCTGGGTGGCTCAGCCAGTTAAGCATCCAACTCTTGACTTCGGCTCAGTTCATGATCTCAGAGTCATGGAATCGAGGCCTGCTAAGCACAGAACAGGGCTCATGCGTTCTCTCCAAAATAAATAAAATCTTGAAAACAAACAAAACCCACCTTTACAACTCTCCCTACTTAGAATTTAAATAGTGTTACTAATGGAAGATTATGACATATACTGATGACCACAGTTGTGTTGTGGTCGCCACGGCCACCCTGATTCAATGATTTACTAGAAAGACTCAGAAAAGCTTTAGACTCACGGTGATGAGATATAACCATGTCTTGTTGCTGTGTGTGCCTTAGACTCTTAAACATGAAAGGATGCAGGTTAAAACTAGAAAAGTGGGGATCCCTGGATCGAGTCCCACATCAGGCCCCCTGCATAGAGCCTGCTTCTCTCTCTGCCTCTCCCTCTCTGTTCCTCTCATGAATAAGTAAAATCTCTTTTCTCTTAAAAAAAAAAAAAAAAACTAGAAAAGCAAAGCTACATAGGGCAGAATCCAGGGGAGACCAGATGTCTTCCAGTTGTCTTCTCCAGTGGAGTTGTACTGACAGCACTTAATTTTCCTAGCAACGATATGTGACGACATGGGCAGAATACTGAGTAGTGTCAACCAGGAAGCTCCTCTGAATCGTGGTATCCAAGGTTTTTACTGGGGGGTCATGCAGGTGTGGAGCACCCATGTGTTGACAGTTACTTAGTCTTCAACCCTTCAGAAGTCAAACTAATAGAATGTGGCCCTTCATTATAAATCCTGTTGTTCAGCATGACCTAGAGATGGTGGGACCCAAGGCCCCTAGTTAAAAGACAATGTTATCTAGAAGGATAGTCCAACAGCTTAGAGGATATTTCCAGGACCTTGGCAAGCATCAGGTTTTTGGGAATGTGCAAGTTCTGAGCAAGTTAATCCTTTTACTGAACAAAACAACTTCAGAATAAGATGTCACATAGTTGATATCATGGATGTGGCCACAGATCCACCTCTAGATCAAGAGCTGCTCCATCATTTCCACATTTCCTTGCAAAGCTTGATGCCAGGCTGTGTTGAAAACTGTATAGAGTACAGTAATGTTGCTAACCAGAATAGAGATTATAAATGAGATGGGGCGGGAAGCACCTGTAAATGAGGGTTGGGGGAAAAGAATAGGGAAGTCACTCTTTCCTACACCTTCCCTATTATAGCTGGAGGCAGGGTGAGAAGAAGGAATTCCTGTCAACTGTGGGATATTCCAAAAGCCAGAATCAGAAGGGAGGTGAAGCCCAAGTGGTGGTGCTTCCTGGCAGGTAGTATCCCCCAGGTGCTGTCCCATCATCCCCTCTGTTTCATCAGCAAAAATCCCATTAATCTGGTTTAGCCAGAACTCCCCTGACCCCTGGTGATTCCTCTCAGTAATTTTCCACCACAGACTCCCTACCCTGCTGCTTGAGCATGAATTCCCATTTGTCCACGCTATATTCAGAATGGAGCCTGGTTCTATATGGATGTCTTTCTCCTACCGCAATAGTTCGAGTAAAATCTGCTTTTACCATCCAGCTCTGTTTTTTTGGACATACTTAGAAAGGGCAAGTGTAGTACAGAGAAATTAGTTTAATTCTATAGGAAAGTGGTATCTGTCTGGTTTTGAATCATAAACTGGGTGCTCTCTACTGCCCCAAAAGGGGCATTCCAGGTCAAGGGGAAAATATGTGCGGGGGGTGGGGGGGGAGACAGTAGTAGGTGGGAAGAGGCAGGCAAGAGTCACTGTACAAAGGACTTTGTATGTCATGCTAAGCACTAAAGGTGACGATGATGTGAAGCACCAGAAGGAGCAGAGAGGACTGAATGGAGGTCATGAGAGTGAAGGCTTCTGACAGTAAAGAAACCCTGGGAATCGTCCAGATGAAAGCTAGTGCTTGAAAACAGAAGACCCAGAGATGAAGAAAGATGAGAAAGGTTTCCTTTAGGAAAAACCAAGACCTGCTGATGTACTGAATGATGGGAAGGAAAGAAGGGTAAACCATAAGAGTCTTTAGTTTCTTGCCTCCTAGTCATTCATCCTATTTAAGGAAGTAAAATTCCAGTTGATAACATTGTTCTCCCTCTTTAAATTGAAGATCGCTGTTTTTGAAGAAAAGTGTATTTTCCTTTGGACTCCCCCAAAATGTTACCTTGAATGAAATGGAATTTATGACCACAGAAGCAAGATACATAGGTAGAAATACTGATGTAGACGACTTAGAATGAACCTGGAGTACTGAAAACCTTTGCAAACGACCTAGGCCCTTCACATTTAAGGACTCTGGAACTTACCTGCGAACTATCTTCCTTTTTTCTGTCAAAAGATGAAAAACTCATCTGCACAAGCCTTTCCAGGAAGAGAGTCGGTGGAGGTGGTGGGAGGCACCTCCTCCCTTCAGGCCATGTCGGGTGAGGAAAGCTTTTTTTACGAGAACCCTCTACCCTCTACTCTCGGGGATGAGGCAGATCTGTATTCTCAGGAGGTACATGTCCTCGCGTAACTCGAATAAGACCTTAAGAAACACAGAATCAAAGCTGTCTGGCACTGAAACAGAAGTCCCAGAAAAGCAGATCCTAAAACAAAAGTAACAGGAGACAGAGCGAGACGTCTGTTCTCTAGAGAGGCTGCTGTCAGCCCAAATCCGAAGGACCCTCACGCTCCCATTTTGCTTATTTTATTTGAATCTCATTATCCAGTTTTCTCAAGGTGAGGGTGACAGGAAGACGCAGGGACGCACCTGTCACCTCCCCTCCCCTCCCCCGCCCCCGCCCCCCGCGCTGCGGCCCCAGGGCGCGAGGTCAGCTCCACCGCCCCGCCCGCCCCGCCCTCGCCCCGCCCTCGCGCCGCGGGGTCACTAACGCGGCCGCTGACCCGCGCCGAGCAAATCTGCGCCCGCCCCGCTCCTGCCGGGCAGCGGGCTCTCCGCCCCCGCCCCCCGCCCCCGGGCCGCCCGGCAACCGTCGTCCACGCCGCCCGCTCGCTCCGCCCGCCCACGTGCTAAAACCGCCCGCGCCGCGCCGCGCCGCGCCGCGCCGCGCCGCGCCTGCGCACAGCTGCCTCCGGGCCCAGGTGCCGCCGGGCGCATGCTCCGACCCGGGCTCTCCCCCGCCCGCCGGCCGCGGGGCTAGAAGCGCCGGGCCCAGGGCTGCCGGCGCGCGCATGCGCGTCTCCGCTACGCGGCTTTCCTCCCCTCGGGACCAGGAGCCCGGGCCTCGGGTGTGAAGCCCGCGGCGCCGGAAGTGGCCGTGCTCCTCCGCCTCGCCTCGGCCCTGGCGGAAACTGACGCCCTGGAAGAGAGGTTCCGGGGTTGGCCGGGGCTGGCGGCGGCGGGATGGAGAGCGGGGCCGAGGACGCGGGGCTGAGCCGCCGCCCGGTGCTGGCCTCCTCCTGGGATGCCGCCTGCGGAGCCCTGGCCCGGAGCCTCCGTCTCACCCGCGCTGACCTCGGCGCCCGGGAGCTGGACTGGGACGAGCTGCTGGCGCCGCCTGCCGCGGGGTGCGTGGGGCCGGCGGGGCCTGGGGCGGCGGCTGCGGGTGGTCGTGCCCCGGGGGAGCGGGGAGGGCAGGTGGGGGCGGAGGGGGAGGGGGAGGGGGAGCGGGGAGGGCAGGTGGCGGGACGGGAGGGGGGAGCGGGGAGGGCAGGTGGGGGCGGAGGAGGAGGGGGGAGCGGGGAAGGCAGGTGGGGCAGGGGGATAGGGGGAGGGCAGGTGGGGCGGGGAGGAGGAGCGGCGAGGGCAAATGGGGGCGGCGGGGGAGGGGGGAAAGGGGGAGGGGGCGGGGAGGCGGGGGGAGAGGAGTGGAGACGGGGGTTGGGCGAGCAGGGAGGGCAGGTGGGGGGGAGGGGGACGAGGAGACGGGACGGGGAGGGCAGGCGGGGGGCGGAGGGGGAGGGCCGGTGGGGGCCGTGCGGGGGGAGGGGGAGGGGAGGGGAGGGGAGGGCGGGGTCCCTCTCCGGGGCGCACGGGGAGGCGCCCGGGGAACTTGCTGTGTGGAAATGCGGGGGCCCGCGGGGGTCGCGCCCTGGAGTCCGCGGGTGCTGGGGGCGGGGCCCCAGGGCTCAGGGGAAGGGGTGAGTCAGGAGGACCCGCGGCCTCCCGAGAGCTCGCGAGCGGTGCGGACGACTGGCCCCAGCAACGCGTTGGGCGCTGCTCTTTGCAGCCGGGAGCTGGTGGTTTTGAGGACAAGCCCGAGCAGCCCCGACGAAAAGCCCTGCTTCCTTTACCTGCGATGTGACCCTAGAGCAGGTGAAGAAATCGCTTCTGTTGGCGTTTTAAGTTCAGCAAGAAACTTGGAAGTGTACGTGGGAGAGGAGTACTGTGGCACCAGCAGGGGCAAGAGTGTGTGCGGTGACCTGGACGGCAGGTGGGTGACAGGCCGCTACAGGTGTCGTCCCCAAGCCCTGTGACCTCCCTCAGCTTTGCTGGTACTCAGGACTCCCTGAGCTTGATGCCAGACGCCGCCGGGGGGGGGGGGGGGGGGGGGGGGGGGATACAAACATAGCAGCGGGGGTAGAAGCTTCTCGCTCCTGCGGGTGTTTGAGACAGTCTGGGTCAGCTTTCTCCTGGGTATAAACGTGCGGACCTGGAGCCGGTGGAGGGAGGTGCCTGGGTGGAGGGTCCTACTAGTTAGTCCCACTGTACGTACTGCACAGACTATCATGCATAGTCCTTATTCCTGCTTCTTGGCTTTCTCCATGAACACAATGGTCTGTTTCCCAAAGGTAATTTGGCAGTTAGTCTGGAACGTTGAACACATTTTTCTGGAGGAAAGTCCATTACAGATGGTGCACAGCCTCAAGACTGTGCCACACCCGCCTATGTAACCCACAATTCAGCCTGTTACGGTTGGATGTTTCTCTAGGTTCTTTTTTTTTTTTAAAGTTTTTTTTTAATTTTATTTATTTATGATAGTCACAGAGAGAGAGAGAGAGAGGCAGAGACACAGGCAGAGGGAGAAGCAGGCTCCATGCACCGAGAGCCCGACGTGGGATTCGATCCCGGGTCTCCAGGATCGTGCCCTGGGCCAAAGGCAGGCGCCAAACCGCTGCGCTACCCAGGGATCCCATCTCTAGGTTCTTGTACAAAGACTCGACTGTAATTGAATCTCAGGATTTAAGTAATGGCTTAGAAACAATTTTAAAAAATGTATTGTTTGAGTGTAGTTGACATACAACATTACATCAGTTTCGGGTACACAACATAGTGATTCAACATCTTTATAGGTTAGCTTACGTTCACCACAAGTATAACTACATCTGTTACCATACGATGCTATTACGCTATCATTGACTGTATTCTCTATACTGTACATTTTATTCCAGCGATTTCTTCCCATAACTGGAAGCCTGTGTCTCCTACTCCTCTTCATCTCTTTTGCCCATCCCTCTGGCAACCACCAGTTTGTTTTCTGTATTTTTAGCTGATTTTGCTGTTTCTTTGTTTATTCATATGAAACAATTTTTAAATGTAACTATTAATAATAGTAAAAGTTAAATTCCATTTTATTTTTAGGGAGCACGAAATTATTTTCTATATGAAATATTTAAAATTGGAGTCCTGTAGTCATGCTTGTAAAATAAAGGTAAGTCATCACTAGATTTTAACTAATTTGACGGTTGCAAATGTTTTTGTATGATCTGTAGTTGTTTTGGTTCTGTAATATGGTTAGTCCAACTTTGTTCCTCATTATTTTTATATAAAAATATGATGTCATGAAAACTCTAAGTCGTTTTGGCTTTATTATATCTAGAAAGAAGGGATTTAGGGAACTTATAGAGAAGAACATCCAAGAGTTAAAGAGATTTGGACTTATATCTTAAAAATATCATAGAGGTGAACTTGAGTGATATAACTAGCACCAAGAGAAAAGTTACTAAGCTGGAAGGCATAGGCCCAGGATATTCCTCCTGTTTTGTTGCCTAGTTGGGTGGACCTTGGGCAAATCTGTTTCTTTTGAACTACTTCATGGATAAATTAGAGGACTCCTCCCCACCCCCAAAAAAATATTGATATATACATGAATGTTCATCCATCATTCCTAATAGCCAAAAGGTTACAAAGAAAACAACTGTCCATCACTGAATATGTCAACAAAATATGGTATGCCCACACAAAAGAAAATTGTTCAGCATAAAAAGCATATAGAAACACAAATGAACCTTGAAATACACTGTGCGAAAGAAGTTGGGATCACATATTGTATGATTCTGTGTGTGTATGCGTATGTAAGGTCCAGAATAGGCAAATCCATAGAGACTGGAAGCAGATTAGTTATTGTCTAGGGCTAAGAGGATTGGTGGGATGGGGAGTGACTGCCAGTGGGTATAGGGTTACTTTTTGGGATATAAAATTACAATAGCTAGCACCAAAAACCATAAGATAGCTAGGAATAAGCCTAACCAAAGAGGTAAAAGAGATCTATATTCTGAAAACTATAGAAAACTTAAGGAAATTGAAAAGCACACACAGAAATTGAAAAACAATCCATGCTCATGGACTAGAACAAACATTGTTAAAATGTCTATAGTACCCAAGGATTCTATATATTTAATGCAATCCCTGTCAAAATACCAGGAGCATTTTTCACAGAGCTGGAACAAATAGTCCTAAAATTTGTATGGAACCACAGAAGACCCCAAGTTGTAAAAACAATCCTGAAAAAGAAAAGCAAAGCTGGAGGCATCACAATCCTGTAGTCATCAAGACAGTATGGTACTGGCACAAAAACAGACACGTAGATCCGTGGAACAGAATAGAAAACCCAGAAATTGACCCATGATTATGTGGTCAACTAATCTTCAGCAAAGCAGGAAAAACGTCCAGTGGAAAAAAGTCTGATCTTGCTGGGAAAATTGGACAGCAACACGTAGAAGAATGAATCTGGACCATTGTCTTAACGCCATATACAAAAGTCAATTCAAAATGGACGAAAGACCTAAATGTGAGACAGGAAACCATCAAAGTGCTAGAGAACAGAGGCAGCGGCTATTGGTACTATTGAACTATTGGTACTTCATCAAGATAAAAAGTTTCTGCACAGTGAAGGAAACAAGACTAGAAGGCAGCCTCTGGAATGGGAGAAGATATTTTCAAATAACATCTGATAAAGAATATCTAAAATCCTTAAACAACTTAACAAAGTCAACACCCCCAAAAATAATTCAATTAAGAAATGGGCAGAAGACATGAATAGACATTTTCCAAAGAAGACATCCATATGGGAAACAGACCTATGAAAAGATGCTCAACATCACTCATCATCAGGGAAATGCAAATCAAAAACACGATGAGATATCACCAAACGTGTCAGAATGGCTAAAATTAACACAAGAAACAAGGGGTGTTGATGAGGATGCAGAGAAAGGGGAACTCCTTGCACTGTGGGTGGGAATGCAAACTGGTGCAGCCACTCTGGAAAACAGTATGGAGGTTCCTCAAAAAGTTAAAAATACAGATACCCTATAATCCAGCAATTGCACTACGAGATATTTACCCAAAGGATACAAAAATACAGATTTGAAGGGGTACATGCACCCTGATGATTATAGCAGCATTTTCAACAATAGCCAAACTGGAAAGAGCCCAATGATCATCGGCTGATGAACAGTTAAAGAAGATGTGGTATAAATATATATACAATGGAGGATTAATCAACCATCAAAACAAATGAAATCTTGCCATTTGTAACAACGTGGATGGAGCTAGAGTATATTACATTAAATGAAATAAGTCTTGGCAGAGAAAGACAAATTCCGTACGATTTCACTTATGTGTGGAATTTAAGAAAGAAAACAGGTGAACATATGTGGAGGATGGGGAGAAGAGAGAGGGAAAGAAACCAAAAAGCGACTCTTAAAGGTGAAGAACAAACAGGATTGCTGGAGGAGGTGGGGGGGGATGGGCATTAAGGAGGGCAGTTGTTCTCATGAGCACTGAGTATTTTGTGTAAGGGATGAATCACTGAATTCTGTTCCTGAAACCAGTGTTGCACTGCATGTTAACTAGAATGTAAGTAAAAAATCTGAAAAGAAAAAAATATAGCAAAATTGCAATGGCCACACAACTCTGTGAATATATTAAAATCCACTGAATTATATACTTTAAATCATTTTTTTTGGCATGTGAATTATATCTCAATAAAGCTATTTTTAAATTTTTTAAAAGGAAATAAATCTTTGCTAACTTTTTATCTCAACATTACTTTATACAGGTTATATTGTTTAGAATAAGAAATGATAAGTAATTTCATAGCCTGGTAGCAAATTTACAGAACTGTTTATTCCAAGACATGTTTTATGCAATATATATTAATAGTTTCCAAATTTACTTTAATGAAGTGTTTCATTCAAATACTCAAGTATTTGAATGCCTACTGAGGCTAGATATATGATTAGGCATGTAGGAACTAGCAGTAATAAAATGACTGCCCTCATGTTGCTGACATTCTAGTGTGATGAAGTAGATAATCTGACTCAATGAGTAAACTACGTCCCATATTCAGTGGTGGGGCAATGGGGATGAAAAAGCAGAAAGTAGGTAGTAGGGAGGTTAGAAGGTAGGTATATAAATTGAATGCGGAGTTCCTTAATTATTGAGGACCATCACCTCTTTGGTGCCACACTCAAAGAGTTCTTGCATCATGTGTTCTGACCTGTGTTGTCATATTATATATGTTTTTTTGTGTGTCTCTGAAGGTGTGTTTTTGTTAACTGTTTATGGAAGTTCTATGGGAGTGCTAAGGGGAGTCTCATTAGAGAAATCCTAGGCCCACTAAAGCTTATTCTGGGTCAGTAGTATATGAAAGCTAATAGTTACCCATCTTTTTCTTTTTTTTTTTTTTGAGCACTTAGTTGTAGGTACTGGGAATTTTAACACCTAATCTTCATAACAACCATGTAAAAATAATTGTTACTACTCTCCTTATTTTATTCTTGACTCGGGTTTTTGGCCTTTCCCAGGGACACACAGGCTTTAAGTAGAGACATCACGGACCCTGTCTGATTCTAAATCCTGTTCCTTTCCACTTTGCTACCTTGTTGTCCATGTCACACAAGATATGTCTTTTGGTTCAGAAACCTGGATGATGAAATAAGGCAGCATACAGCCTTGGGCAAGCCACTGCTATAGAAGCCCAAGAACTAGGTTCCAAGCTTGACATTTCCCAATTTGGATAGTCCTTTGACAAATTAGAAAATCACCCCTAACCTCATCTTCACACATCTATGTGTGAACCAGCTGGTTATGTTAGACCATTCTGAATTTCTTTTACAATTCTAAATTCTAAAAGTTGGCTTATTTTTAGTATTTTAGTAAATACTTGGACGTGCTTTTGTAAAACCTTCTTTTGTATTAAATAATATAGCTAACTGTGCTGTGTTAGGTTCTCAGATTGGTATAGCTTATTTTTATTCATTAATTTAAGTGAATGAAACTTTATTGGAGCCCCTCCTGTATATCTGCATATTTTTCACTTTGAAATGATATTCTTTTTTTTTATATTCTTTTATATAAAAAGTTCTTATGAGCCTCATAGTAAATTAGAAGTGCTGATCATTACAATTTTCAGGAAAACTTAAAATTGAAAATGTATTTAAAGTTTGTTTGTGTTCCTAAATACATTATTATTGCTAGTTGATACAGAAAAGTGACCTTAAATAGTGATTATTGTTTAATATCATTTTCTGGAACTCTTTTGTGTTATAATAGTTGCTCTCCTTTGGTGAAAAGCAGTGTGTGTTCATCAGTAAAGTTGTGGTACAATTGAGGCGGGTTTCAGCAAATTCTTCAACAAGCTCTCCTGCTCTAGGATCAAGGATAGACCTGCAGAGGGTCCAAACTCTCATGGAGGCCATGGGGTCAAAGTTGTCACCTGGCGCTCAGCAATTGATGAATATGGTTCGATTTCAGCAGCAGGTAGGTAGAGATGGATTCTCTCCAGGTACTATTAAAAATTTCAAAATGACAGCTTTTTATAAGTAGGTCAAACTAATTGACCTTTGAACTTTTACATTGATTTGTTTTTTATCTTTATTTGCTTTTGTAAACTAGCATTTTGTAGAATTTCTCTAATGCAAAATATCTTATTACAGATCTTCACAATTTTCCATGTATTTACTTATTAATTCAGCAAATATTTATTGAGCACCTTTTTGGTAAATAAGGCAATGTTTTGAGAACTTTAGAAAGTTCAAAGGTCAATTAGTTTATAGCCTATCTTTAAGTGTCTTTGTAGTTTCCTTTTATCTAGGCCTTTAAGGAAGAAGGACAGGACTGAGCAAGTAAATTTGGAGGGATGCAATTTGAGAGCGAGAAAATAGCATTGTGTAACCCTTTAGTGCTAGAAGGAACAGTATATACCTAGGAAATGCCCAGAATGCCCAGTTCACTTCCTGGGGTGAAGAAGTAATAGGAGGAGTTTAGCTTGGGGCTGGAACACAGAGGGCTTTGAATGTTATTTTAAGAGTTCATATATGGTTGTGCCTACATTTTGAGATATTCTAACCCAGCATTACTGCATAAGAGGAATAATTAGGAGCAGTGAATCAGTAGGATGGGAGACTCCAGGGGGAGCAGCTACATGTCTCTTCCCTCATCCAGATAAGAGTTAAGGATGGTCTAAAATTGAATATGTAATAACCTGATACTGGATCATGACACATTACCTCTTTGGTGCCACACTCAGAGTTCTTGCATCATGTGTTCTGACCTGTGTTGTCATATTACATACGGTTTTGTGTGTGTCTCTAAAGGTAAGTGTGTTTTTGTTAACTGTTTATGGAAGTTCTATGGGAGTGCTATAGTGATGGTGCCATCAACACTGGAAACTAACTTGATACTGGTATTGCCAGAGAAGAATAAAGGTGACATTGAGGTTTTGAAGATGGTGATACCAACAATATAAATGGAAACCAGGGGAGGAGACTGCTTGGGAAAAAGGGTGTTTGATTTTGGGAATATTGCGTGGTAGATATGAACCAAATAGTGCTTGAGATGATGCTGCAAGCATTTGGAAGCACTGGTCAGGGTGGGGAGTGGAGAAGCAGAAGGGAGGTTTGAGAGATGTATCCCCAGTAGAGGGCAGGGAAGGTAGTGAAGGGAGAGCCGGAGCCAGGAAGAAAGGTTCATGGGGGAGTCACTATGTTTGGTCACTATATAGGAAGTGGGAAAAGGACCAGAACAGCCCAAGACAACAGTGTGACCAAGTAGCACCAGGGGGGATCTGATCTCAGAAGACCTGACTGCAGGTTGTGGTGCTGACGTTAGTAGTTGTGTTATTTGGCATTGCTTCATCTTTTTGAGGTAAGTTTCCTTGTGTTTAAAATCTAAACGATAATACTGCTAGGATCATAGGATTAATGGGAAAATTTGAAAGAAATGTTGCTTTTGGGTTGCTTGTGTTCTTAAAAGTTTTGTTGAAGATTTTTCTTATTCTGTTTGAAGTTGAAATTTGTGGGCTCTGATTTGGTTTTACTTTACAATTTAGAAAAATTCAATAGGAATTCTGTATCAAAGTGCCTAGCCTATAGCATTCATTTAATGCTGCCTGAATGGAAGGATGCACCCCATTTTTCTCAAAGAAAACATACCCAGTTATGCAGGATTTACATTGTTTACTTTTTTGACCTTTAAAATACAAATATCTTTTTTCCTTGCTTTTTCAAGGTGATAGATACATAAACTTCTTATAATAAAAGTTAGACAATCCTTTCAGATATCTGAAGAAAAATTCAGAAATAAACACTTAATTTTTCACAAGTCTGGGGGTAAGTGTGCACATATATAAAATTATGTATATACACATACACATAGTTCTTTACATATTCGTGTATAGGTGTATGGACATAATTCTGCATGAATTATGCTTTTATATTCTTTTAAGCTTTTATGCTCTTATGGTCTTTTAAGCTACTCTGTGCTTTTTATATAACGTGACAAATTCTAAGCAATACATACATATAAATTATTTTATATATATTGCTCTGCCTACTTTTAAAAGCGTTTGGTGGACCTTGCAAGGCAACATATGACAGCACAAGAAAATTAAGAATAGACTTACCTATGAATTCCTTGATATTTAATACAAAGAGGAAAATGAAATTACCTTAAGAGCTCTCATCTGAGAAAAATATGACTAATTTTTATAATAGTGAATTTCTAATCAAAATTTGTTATATTAGAAAACTTCATATAGCAAATAGCTTATCTGCATTTAGATTTTTTAAATTAAAATTTTTGCCAAATTAATTCTCATACACAATTTTGACATTGATTTCTTGCTGTTTATGCAGAATTTTCAATTTTCTGGGGCACTTGAGTGGTTCAGTCTGTTAAACATCCGACTTTTGATTTCGGTTCAAGTCATGATCTCCAGGTTGTAAGATTGAGCCCCTATGTGGGGCTCCATGCTGTTGGGATTCTTTGACTCTCTCACTCTCTCTTCCCCCCCTTCCCCCCTCATTCATGCACTTTCTCTCTAAAGATAAAATTAAATTTAAAAAAATAATTTTCAATTTTCTGTCATTAAGGTTTTTCTGGACTATTGTACTACTACCAAAAATAATTTAGTTTTGTCATCATGAATAAGGCTCCTTTCTACCAAAGGAGACTATTTAATTTTAAAATTTTGTATATAATTATTTGTGTATTTTATATATACATATAAATTATATAGTTGTTTGCAGTCCAAGGTTTATCCAGAACTTGCATTCAATAGAAGATAACATTTCTTTATAAAGAGTATTCCTCCAAAGTATGATTCAGTAAAAGAAATTTCATGGAGACCTTTCAATTCCTACCCCACCAACTTCCCTGGCTTTCATTATTCCCCTTTTCTCCTTTATTTTTCCTTAAAGTATTTATCCCATCTCCATCCACATGATATATTGCCTGTCTTCCTACTTTCCTTCCTTCCTTCCTTCCTTCCTTCCTTCCTTCCTTCCTTCCTTCCTTCCTTCCTTCCTTCCTTCCTTCCATTGTTTCCTATTCCTGTGTTGGTTCCACATATTGGTGATTTTCATTTGTTTTGTTTACTCACTTATTTCCTATACCGGAAACACAGAGCAGATTTCTGGTAAATATTTGTTGACTGAGTTTTGGGTTGGTTTGATCCAGGAATCATTTTTTAGAGTGTGTAGACAATGTACATATTGAGTTTCTTTAGCTAACCTTTATAATACTTTTCTCAGTCTCTTTCAGTAGGTGTTGATCAACAGTAAGGATGCAATGGCATCTTCCAATTAAAATCTCTAATAGAGTTTTGTGTTTCCAATTTAGGATGTAGGTCTATAACCTAACAGTTTAGTGGACTAGAAGTAGTTTTGCTTTTTTCTTGTGGAAAAATTGAAAAGCATAGCAAGGAGCATTGCAAGAATGTGCCCCTGTATGGGAGACCATGTAACCCCATCACAGAAGTGAGCCAGAATATTGTCATGAAATAATAGAGTATTGCCAATTCAGTTGAGGCCATAAAACATAATCTGTTATCCTACAAATCATTAAAGCAGACATAGCCAAAAGTTGGCTTATTGTCATGCAGATGTCACAAATATACTGATGAAGCATCAGACTTCTAGTATATAAGTTATCTGGTGTATCTTCCATGATAAGCTAGTTATAAAACATTTCCTTAGGGATCCCTGGGTGGCTCAGTGGTTTAGCACCTGCCTTTGGCCCAGGGCCTGATCCTGGGGTCCCGGGATCGAGTCCCACGTCGGGCTCCCTGCATGGAGCCTGCTTCTCCCTCTGCCTGTGTCTCTGCCTCTCTCTGTGTCTCTGTCATGAATAAATAAATAAAATCTTTAAAAAAAAATTTCCTTAGATTAGCTTATATATGAATCTTGATGGATGATATTTAATTCTAAGAAAATCATCAATTACTGTTACTCAGTTGATAGTACTAGATTTAATTAGCATAAATTAAGGAGGCCTTTGTAGTGGAGACATTAATGCTAATGCAGTTTTACTAAGCATGCTAACATTTAATATTTCCTTTAGGAAAAACTATAGTGAAATCATTAAAAGCCTTGACTCTGGAGTTAGGTGGCCTGGGTTCATGTCCCAGTTCTGCCACTTACTAGTTGTGTTACCTTCGCCCCGTTACCTTTAGCCCTTGTTTTACCTTAACCTTGATCTCCTCAATTTAGGATTGGGGTAGTAATCTAATAGCATCCTTCCTATGGATGCTTTGAGGACTGGATGAAAGAATGCACCTTGCCTGACTTATAGCAATTACCCCCAGAGTTAGCTGTCATTACTATCAATAGTAACGTGGATTTATTTACCTTAGAATTGTGTTCCCATTGGAGAGCAGCTTCAGTCGGTTTTGGGAAATCCTGGTTACAAACGCATGATGGACCTGCAGTCGTCATCTGCTTCAGGAACTTTAGACAAGTCACCCTCCACGCCTTTCCCTTTTAGAACTGGATTGACATCCGGATCCCTGGCTGAAGACTTAAAAGCTTATATTGATAAAAGTCTGCAGCCACTTGGTGGAGGAAACATGACAGACCTCAAAGATTATAACGTGGTGCCACAAAACCATTCTCTTCTTGAGAATGACCTCAGAAGTGCAGTTTCTTCTTTCCTACCGAAGAAAGCAAGTGATCACTCAACTCTACCTAACTCTGAGTTGCCGCCTTTTCTCCAGAATCTGTGTAGTCAGGTTAACCATCTCCGTGTGGGACATAACACCAAGTGGCAGGAAAGCATCACTAACGCCAGTGAAGGTGTTGTTGGTGTTGGGTAAGTATTTATTTTGAGACAAACATGGTTTAGATTTCATAGAAGAATCAGTTGTAAGAAAATAGATTTGTTTCACTAACAATTTACTGCCTGAAGCTGTTTCCACAGGTAATCTTTGAAGCTTCCACGTTTTAGCATTAACGCAGTTATAGGGGAAAAATATTCTACAGGGTAGAATGGATCACTTTTGAAGAAGTGCCTAAAACTGAAGGTGTTGGTCACTTCCTAGGCATTTAATGGAAGGAGTACAAGCATCACATAAGGAGTACAAAGTGGTGTGAATGGGGAGGAGCCATAGGAACCATGACAAAATCTGATCTTGTTTGTCCCAGGCTCATTTTGGAGTCATCAAGACATAATGAATAAGCCCTTATCTGCCGATCTCATAATTCCAATTTGGGGGCAGTCTTAGTTTGATTAAAGGGTGGCTGAGTATATTTAGTATGTTTCCCATCCTTTATGTAGATGTGATATGTCAAAATATTGCACTAGACTGAAATTCAGGACTCCAGTCATAGTCCTGGCTTAACTAATTTCCCTTATTGTTTAAACCTTGTGACTTAGATATTTTTCACATGTAAAATGACATTAAATGGTTGAGATTTTCTTTTTTTTTTTTTGGAGATTAATTTATTTATTTTAGAGAGCAAGAAAACACAGGCTTAGGGGGTGCGGGTGAGTTTAAATCTCAAGCCAACTCCACACTAAGCATGGCGTCCACATGGGGCTCCATCTCAGGATCCTGAGATCATGACCTGGGCTGAAATCAAGGGTCAGATGCTTAACCAACTGAGCTATCCAGGCACCCCTGCTTGAAATTTTCTTAAAGTCTCTGATAGGGAAGCCTGGGTGGCTCAGTGGCTGAGCATCTGCCTTTGGCTCGGGTCATGATCCTCGGGTCCTGGGATTGAGTCCCACGTCAGACTCCCTGCAGAAAGCCTGCTTCTCCCCCTGTCTATGTCTCTGCCTCTCTATCTGTGTCTCTCATGAATAAATAAAATCTTTAAAGAAAAAAAAATCTCTGATACAACATTGAAATTTGAGGATTTTAATAAGTTACTGGGAAAAAATAGTTTTTATTCAATAAGGATATTTATTACTTAGTAATATATTTTAGTAAGGATACTCAATAAGGAAAAGTAACTTTAGTCTTCAGTTGTGACAGCTTACGTCAGTGAACTAGCTGGTGTGTGATACAGCAAAACAAAACTACTGAGATTAAAAACTGCTTCTGGGTCCAGCTGAGATTGAATGTCCCCATCCCTCTCAGGTCTGTCATGTAAAGTGAATAAACCTTTTTGAAATTTTAAAGAGAAAGGATGGAAGAGAGTTTTATTCAAGCCCAAAGTAGGATAGCTGCCCTGGATACACAGTCCTCACAAAGAAGAGGATTGGAACAGTGAGAAGGGCGATACTTAGGAAGGGTGATTCGTATTTTTTTCTTCAAGCAAGGAACATGTGTTGCAGGGTGACTGAGACACAAATCATGACAAAGGACATTCCAGAAAGGTACAGATTTTATCATATGTTTTTAGTATGTGTAAGGGTGTATTACATTAATCTTAGGACTAAAGAAGTTTTTTAAATTTTTCTTTATGTTTGGAGTGTTCCTTTTTGATTACTTGTTTTTTTAACAAAGCAGATGGACAATGTGTGCTTGGGGCAGAATTGGGCCTGAGCTTTGAGATTTCACCCAGTCATTTTGACCTTGGTAGAGTGTTAAAGTCAAGCCTTCCTGGAAGCCTAGGAGCAGGGTCATTGAACATTAAAGCTGAAAATTTCTGTTACCAAATCCTCCCTTTTACAAATAGAAAACCATGGATATAATAAACATATAGTGACTGTAAAAGATAGAAGTCAGACGGCTTAGGGACTGTAAGGTATTGTCCCTTAATTCCCAGTTGTCTGAGATTCTTTCTCATCATAAATCAGTGTTGGACTTTGTCAGATATTTTTTCTACATCAGTTTATGTGATCATGAATTTTCTTCTATAGTGTGTTGATATGGTGAATTACATTAATTTTCAAAAACTGAACCAGCCTTACATACCTAGAGTAAATCCTGCTTGGTCATAGAGTATAATTCTTTTTTAAGCATTGCTACATTTAATTTGCTTATATTTGTCAAGTATTCTCATATCTAATTCATGAGAGATAATGATCTGTATTTCCTTTTTCTTACACTGTCTTTGGTTTTATATCAGGGTAATACTAGCTTCCTGAAATGAGTTCTGTGTTTTAGAAGAGATTGATATAAAGTTGCTCTTTTTAAAACTTGTGGTAAAATTCTCCAATGAAACCAACTGGCTTGAATGTTTCTTTCTTGGGAACTTTTTAATTACAAATTCGATTTCTAACAGTGAAGTTGTCAGTTCTCCAACTGATATGCAGGCCTAAAGTAGAGATTATTATGTGGCACAGCGGTTTGGCGCCTGCCTTTGGCCCAGGGCGCGATTCTGGAGACCCTGGATCGAATCCCACGTCGGGCTCCCGGTGCATGGAGCCTGCTTCTCCCTCTGCCTATGTCTCTGCCTCTTTCTCTCTCTCTGTGTGACTATCATAAAATAAAATAAATAAAAAATTTAAAAACAATCTTTAAAAACAAAAACACAAAGCTATAAAACTTCCCCAGTAATATATAGGAGAACATTTGGGGACCTAAGACTAGGAAAAGACCCTTACATGATTCCAGAATCATAGTAATGCTAGCATCAATACTAGATCCTTCAAAATATAAAACTTCTGCCTGTGAAAGACCCTGTTAGAGGATTAAAATACAGATACAAACTGGGAGAAAATATTCAAGTCACAAATTTAACAAATGACCTACATTTCTGTAGCTCCCAAAATTCACATTAGAAGAAAATTCAATTAGAGGATGGGCTACTGAGACATTTTACCAAAAAAGGCACACAGATCAAATAAGCAAATGAAGAGATGATCATCACTGACCTCATGGCTCCCAGGGAAATGAATATCAAAACCATAAGATACTACTACATGGTTATTTGAAGGCTAAAGTAAAAACAGAAAATGGTAGCAATACCAGATGCTGCTGAGGATATGGAGAAACTGGATCTCTTCTATATTGCTGGTGGGGGCGTAGAATGCTATAGCCAGTGTAAGCAACACTTTGGCAGTTTCTTGAAAACTAAACATAACAGTTAATGTGTGATCCGGCAATCCAACTCCTGAGCCTTTGTCCCAGAAAAATGAAAACTTCTGTCCACACAAGGAACTGCCCAGTTCTTCATGCAAAGCCTTATTTCTATGTAATAGCCCCAAACTGGAAACAACCAAAATGTCTTAAAATACGTGAAGAGTTAAAACAAACTGTGGTATGTCCATATCACGGGATGCTAATCAACAAAAAGGAACCATTGACCCACACAGTAATAATTTGGATGGTTCCCAAGAACATTATGCTGAATGACCAAAGAGAATCTCAGGTGGTCACATACTATATCATTGCCTTTGCACAATATTCCCAACTAAAGTGGTAGAGATGGAGACCATTGGTGGTTGCCAGGTGTTAGGGATGGAGAGCGTTAGTGGAGTGGCTGTGACAGTCGGGGTGGCAGGAGGGAGATCCTTGTAGGAAAGGAGGAGTTGTGCATCTCAGCTGCGGTGATGTTCACGTGACTGTGTGTACGTGGGAGAGGGTAGCATACACACACTGCCAACATGAGTTTTCTGGTTTTGTGTTCTGCCAGAGTTAGGTGAGGTGGGACCATTGGGACCATTGGGTGAGGGTACTGGGAACTCTAGCATCTTTACAACTTCCTGTGACTCTAGTTACTTGGAAAAAAGCAGTTAAAAAAAAAAACCCTTATATATACTGGAATGAGGCTGTCAAACTTTTTGGTCTTTACACTGAAAAATAATTGAAGCCTCTAAAGAACCTTTATTTATGCAGACTATATAAAAGGATTCATTTGTTGAAAAATAACAAGTCCATTATATAGGAACATAACAGTTTTTATGAAAAATGTTTTCTAAGAAGCTTAGGGAGAATGGTATCCTGTGAAATACATAGACTCGATAATAGCTTCTGGTTGCATTCTCAGCTGTATTGCCCCCCCCCCCCAAGCGTGTAGCATCAGTAGCTAGGAAGACACAGAAGTGGAGAGAACAAACGGGGTTAATCTGTGAAGAAAAGATTTATGGAAAGTCTAAGAAACAGAAGCATACACAACCAAACCAAAACTTGTGTTAGTCACCTGAGCCGTGACATTACACCTTGGGTAGCCTCTGGAAAATGTCCCTGTATGTTCTTGAGAATCCCGAGGATGAGAGTTCAGATAACATCTTAGTAGTAGCGTGAGCACATTTGCCACTTCATGGAAGCTGAAAAAGTCATGGCGACCCCAGGGTTGTGTGGACCATACTCAGTCACTGCCCTAGTGTTCATTGGTTGTGAACTTGAGAAACTGAGTGCTTTTTACTTTTTTTTTTTTTCAGATTTTATTTATATATGTGTGTAAGTATGTATGAATGAATGAGAGAGGGAGCACGAGCTGGGGGATGGGCAGAAGGAGAAGCAGACCCCCCCTGAGCAGGAACCCTGAGATCATGACTGAGCCAAAGTCTGACACTTACCTGACTCAACCACTCAGGTGCCCCATTCTACTATTTTTATTTCTACTTGCCCATTCCAGTTATACTCATTTTTAAACGTTTTCATATTAGGTTAGAAAAGAATCATCCAGTTATTAAATGAGGTGGTACAAGTGACAAAAGACAAAACTAGTAATTGTAGAGTTGTTGGGGGAAGTTCTTGGAAGACCTACCTGGCGACCTTTAACAACTGGGCGAGATCAGTTTTGAATTGGGGCTCAAAATCCAAAGACCTTTAGTAAAGACTTGTTCTTTGAGGGTAGACATCCTGTCTTCGTTGTTACAGTCTCATTTCAGTTGTATGCTGAGATGTTGAAAGAAAGGTACAGAATGTGCGCTCAGGTCGTGGTTGCCTGTTGCAGATGTATTTTGGCAGCTGGAAATAGGTCATGCGGGGACGGCACAGTTGCCCAGACTGATTTCCGCACGGTACGTTGGCTGCTGGTGTTAGTATAGTTGGGTTGTTTGTGTTATGAGATCAGGGATGACTGTTGTACTGGCCTTTTAATATTTAAAATGTATTTTTAGGATGGAAGAGCAGCCTGTGTGTTCCTACTTGGAAAAGATTCTTACTAAAAACTTGGAACTGATGGAAAAGAGACTCGTAGACTACGTCGACCGGCGACTGTGTAAACTCCAAGAGCACATGGATGCCAAGATTGCTCTGTTAATGGACCTGCTGCAGAGTCCCTACTCCCCACCCCCGGGGACGGCCCTCAGACCCTGTGACTCTGGAGAAAGACTTTCAAATGGAGAAAGATAAGTGCTCAACCTGTACGGTGCGCTACAGATATTTATTACGTATTTATTGCAAAGCCTAAACCCCCAAGGTTCAAAGCCAGTATTTCATGTCATTTGAGGATCATCCTCTCCCTTCCATCAAGTGACCTCCGTGTTCATTTGAACTCTACTTGTTACTGTAAATCCAGTACTGTGCACTAGAATTAACGGGATAGGGTCACCTACTATTTTTGTTTGCAATACTGTTTACTTTTATTTTTCATTTGTATTTACTTTTATTTTTGTTTAAGTGTTTTAACTTTTTAACGATTTGTATTTTAATTCATGAATCTGTTTTATATATGTGTTTAAGTGCTGTTTTAATTTATACAAAGGCCCTATGTTTTAGGTGCGTGAAAAAAGTACAGTGTTTGATATATTTTTGTTTATCTAATTGATTGTTCTTAGAAACCTTAGACTATTTAGGCCTTGCTTGCAACCTTTAATTCCCAGTCACCAAATTACATTTCATATTGTTTATTTCAGATAAAAAATTAACGTGTTTCTGCACCTTTACATCGGGGCCATTAATTTTATGTTCTGTCACATTGAAGCTATACTGTGGGTAGGGGAGAAACATCAAACTGACCCTTTTTTTGTTAAGATTATTACTTTAGATTTTGTGTTTGATGTAAAACAGAAGTTATCTTGTTTCATTTCAGTAAACACAACTTTTTTGAGTTGATAGTGGTTCTTCTTTCCAGAGCCCTTCCCCGGTACGTTTAACATGTGAAGTGCTGAGCCTCTGCATGCAAAGATGAAGGCATATGAATCAAGGAGATTGTGCCTCTGTGGCGGATGTAATTTTCAGAAATTATGACTATTTTATGTGTCTTGAGGGCTGGTATATTTGCATCTAAAAAATAAATGCATGTACTCTGGAAACTATGTGTCTTATATAAATACAAAATTGTTTTGAAGATTTTATTATTTAAGAGAGAGCAAGAGAGCGAGAGAGAGCATGCGCAAGTGCACATGTAGGGGAAGGGGCAGAGGACAGGGAGACACAGACTCCCCACTGAGCAGGGACCCGGACTGGGGGCCTCAATCCCCCGACCCCGGGATCATGACGTGATCCGAAGGCAGACGCTTAACCAAGTGAGCCACCCAGGCGCCCCAGAAATATTTTCATCTAATATTTGTTCAAAATGAAAATGATGTTTTACACTCATTTCATGTTTTGGTGAATATAGTTCTTTAAAGTGAGAACTATTACAGTGTTCATTTATGAATCATTCTGACCTCAGTGACAGGAGGTCTGTATATGACTTTTTTCAAGCTTTTCCTAATTTTATTCACAACCTATGTAGCCAGTAAATAGTATTTCTAACCACAGTCGGAAAATGTGTTGGACTTAAAGCTCAACCCTTCTTTTAATAGCTGTGCAGTTTCTGATAGTTGTGGTCTGTTCTTTGGTTCAGAAATTGCCTCAAAATAGTTACAACTATAACACACAAGGTATGTTTTATAAAATGATTAGAATAATACAATATTCATGACTATAGTACTAGAAATAATTCATATGTGCTTTAATTCCTGATTTTCCATTTAATTTTTCTGTGTTAATGAAGACCTTACATTTTATATGTATTAAAAATTCAGAGGTGTTTATTTTCTTAAAAACTGTTGTGCATAAATGTATGTATTGCTTTATTATTATTTCTGAAAATACTGCCTGAATTTGCTCCGCAGAAGCAGCAGACTATAATACTTACAAACTCTTTATTATTAAGTCTTTTTTTTTCTTGTGAGTTTTCTCCACATATAATAAGCCAAGTCTGCAGAGTAATGTGTGTTCTAATTTCCCCATTTTTACCACTTTGAGCGTCCTTTCGTCTCCTTTCCCATGGAGGCTTGCTGAGGTTTCCATTCCACTTCCATCAGTGGATCGATTGTCAGTGTTTGGGGTGTAGGGCAGAGAGAGTTTATGCCCTGCTGCCCTAGGACTCTTCTTAAGGTGTGGCCACGGAGACTGGCATTGGAGGCTCTTCCTCACTCAACCCCAGCCCAGCTTTCCAGCCTCATCAGCCACCTCCACGTCACCTGCTGTGCCAGCCTGTCCTTTCTTCCCACAGCGCCTCACATTGCTGGTTCCAGCAGAACAGGAATGTTCTCCTCCTCTGGTTCCCACCTCTCCCTACCCTACACTAGCATTCCAGCTCAGCACAGATGCAGCCTTCAGGAAGCCACCCTGGTCCCTCCCCCGGGAAGGAAGCAAGCAGCTGGATGAGTGAAACAGGCAACACAGAAGGCTCTTTTCGGGGCACGGAAAACAGTCTAGGTTGGCTAATGCATAGGATGCAGGTGAGGCCTGGGGAGGGAATGCAGAGGGAAGGCCTGAAAAGGTGGCCTGGCTTTGGCTTTGGAAAAAACCCTGAATGCTCCACTCTGGAGATTTGTCAACACCAAGGAATCAGTGGTTTAAGAGGAGTGACGTGGTCATCTCTAGGCCTCAGAAAGCCAACCAGAGTGGAACTTTGCTCACAAACCCACTTGCAGAATTTCTGGCGTTCTGCTTTGTGCTGCAGCAGAATCTGGGTGCTGTGAATGCAGAACCCCTTAACATGTGATTGCCTGACAAGTTAGGTCAGCATTTCTCATCGTTTGCTCTTCGAACTTTGTCAGAATCACTTGGGGAACTTGTCAAACATGAAGGTTTCTCGAGCCCCATCGCACATCTTCTGAATCAGACCAGAGGGAGAAACGGTCCCTGAACGGGCATTTCAAAGGATCTCAGGGTTATTATAAAACAGGCCAAACCGGGAGAGTCTGCATTGGTCCATAACACAGCACACTCCCAACATGTAGCCATGCGATCAGCCCCATGACCCCTCATCTGGGAGCTGGTCAGAAGGCAAATTCACGGGCTCCATCCCAGAACCAGTGAAGCAGAGTCTTGGGGCGTGGGCAGGAATCTGCTTTCACAGGCTCTCCAGGTGATTCTCATACAAGTTAGAGAACCACTGCTTTAATGAATGGATGTCTCTGAAGAAATAGACCCACAATTTCAAACACCCAAGACAGGTGTCTGTATAACCTTGTATCTGTTGGAGATGCCCTGGACATTTATGTTTAAATGAGAACCAGGAGTTCCAGAATAATAATAGAAGAGGAAGGCAACTCTGACTTCTTGAGAGTCAGAATTTCTGAACCATGAAATGACTCAAATGGAACATAGTTTTTTTTACTGCAGACTTTCCCTAGCAGAGACACCTTGGTAGTTTCCATCTAAAACTTTTAGTGTTTTCACTTTTTTTTTTTTTAAGATTTTTTTTTTTAATTTATTCATAGACACAGAGAGAGAGAGGCAGAGACACAGGGAGAGGGAGAAGCAGGCTCCATGCAGGGAGCCGGATGTGGGACTTGATCCCGGGTCTCCAGGATCACACCCCAGGCTGCAGGTGGCGCCAAACCGCTGTGCCACCAGGCGCATTTCCATTGGGATCATGCCTGCAAACAGAACACATGTGGCTGGAGATGAACCACCAGCAGAGGGGCTCACTGCTTGCATTCATGTCTCAGTTTACAAAGTAAGTGTGACATGTCCGTTTATGTTGAAACCTCTCAAAGACCCAAAAGCCACCACCGCCACAACCACCCTTGTCAAACCACACAGCACCCACTATCTTGAAACAGGCCCAGGGAGCTGAATGGCTTTGCCAATGGTTCTGACAAGTCATAGGGGGACGGTGGGCCTGGAATCCACCTCTCTTCCGTAGGCCATGTGGATTGTGGGGTGGGACCTCCCTATTTAGAATTGATCTCTGATAATTTGAAATCCAAGACTGTTGAAAGGTGAAGCAACTCGTCTTCCATGGCCCCCTCTCTCAAGGTAAAGCAAATTTTGCCTCTTCTACATGCTTTTCTACCATTGTGACATTGTCTCTCTAATGCACCTTGGAAGACATATTTTCAGGATGGCTTAGAGGACAATACACAAGGGTGGACAAATCTGAATTCTTCAATCACCTGCTGTGTAAATTTGGATGAATGATTCTACCTTTTTCTTGACCTCAGCTTTCTGTAAAATGGGGGAATGTCACAGCTTACCTCATGCTGTAGCATAAGGTTTATAATATTATGAACATGACATAGTAGATGTTAGATGGCAAATGTTAAATTTTTCTCTCCCTTTTCCTACTGTGTTCTCTTAAATGGATGTTTCTTAATAGCATTACTATTCTGGAGATTTTGAAGTCCCTCTTCTATATCCTACCTTAGCTGCAGGAGACTCACAATCAGTTCTGTTGAGCAGGGGTTCTCGAGTCTAATTCAGGAACAATCAGCATTACCTTGAAAGTTACTCAAAATGCAGGTTCTCGGACCCCACTTCAGTTACTGAATCAGACACTCTGAGGCCTTGTGTTTCCTGAAGTCCACCTGCTGACTCGAGTGCCCACTCATTTTGGGAACCATTGGTTTATGTCTAAAAGCACACTTTGCAGCCAGCTTACATGAGTTCCTTCCCCCAAACCCCTGCTGACATACCACAAAGCTGCTCTACACCTGGCAGGGGGAAAATGTAGACTTTTTACTAGGATTTTAGACCTCTATGAAATTGGATCCTTGGCTAATTTTTCCGACTGGTGTCTTGCTGCCATTCCCCTTCACGCATCTCACTCTAGCCCCAACGACCCCTTTCTTGTTCCTTGAGCACCCCAAACCCATTGCAGCTCAGAGTTCTGTCATTAATATTTGCTTTGCCTCGAATGTACCTCTGATCTGCGATCTACGTTTTCTCCATGCCTCTGCTGGAGCCCTCAGAAAGGCCTTTCTTGACTATGCCCCTAAATTCATCCTCCTCATCCCTATCCTTTGGTCAACTATTTTCACTTTCCTTTTAACCATTCTTTAAGGGGTAGATACGTTTAGAATGAATTCTATTCCTACATCTGAAAATGTCTCTCTCCCCGTCCCTTCCTGAGGGATAGTTTTGCTGGATATAGAATTTAGGGTTCTTTTCATTCAGTGCTTGAGAGGTATCATGTGCTACTTCTGTCTGGCTGCTGCGGTCACAGATGAGAGGTCTATGGTTTGGAACTGGTGTCCCCCTGTAGGTAGGGTGTTATGTCTCTCTGGCTGCTTTCATGTTTGTTTGTCTTTAGTTTTCAAAATTTTTCATTATAATGTGTCTTGTCATGGATTTTCTTGGGTTTATCCTGTTTGGAGTTTTCTCTACTTCTTGAATCTGTGTTTTTTTTTTAAGATTTTATTTATTCATTAGCGGGGGGAGCAGAGACACAGGCAGAGGGAGAAGCAGGCTCCATGCAGGGAGCCCGACATGGGACTCAATCCCGGGTCTCCAGGATCAGGCCCTGGGCTGAAGGCGGCGCTAAACCGCTGAGCCACCGGGGCTGCCCTCATTTTTGTAACCCTTATATCTCCTGATTAGGTATGAAAATCTTCCAATGAGCATGTACTTGAATTCTAGTAAATGGCATTGCATTATTTTGTTGCATAGCTAAAGCATAAAGCCTAATCAGCCTTCTAAACTGAGCTTTTAAGTGTAAGGGGATTTTTAGTCTCACATTTCCCCCCCTTTTTTTTTCTCATTAAAATCTTGTATCAGCTTTTGAGGAGCAGTCAAATCCTGAGAATCAATGTAAGGGAAATAAGACCTGAAAAGGAAAAGACTTAGAATTAAATGGTTCAAAATAGTCTCTCTTTCCTGAGGGCTAAAGTATACCGGTACATGGGACAGAATTCAGAACTCTGCGGAAGAGCTGCTGTCCTGAGAGCTGATGTCACATCGCTGTGGCATAGAACATGGGGCTGGGCAGTGGCTGTGCTTCAAAAGCAAGTTCTTCAACCTTGGATCTTAATTCCTTCTAACAAGGGTGATTCTATCCTTCTTTCTCAAATTACGGCTTCCATAAAATACCCTGTTCCCTAAATTTTTTTTAATTGTTTTTAATATTTGGCCTTCATCCAGATCTGGACAGTTTACCTCTAGTAAGTATGCCTCGCAGTTACATTGTTTATGCTGCTTTCCTGGCTCACTGTTCCCTAATTTCAGAGCGTCAGATTAAACACTTTGCTGTTTTCAGACCAATTTTCATGGGAGAATTTGGAGGGAAAAATGTCCAAAAGGCCTGTCATCTCCTGGAGAGACAGAATGAGGGACAGGGGCTCCTAAGATGTCCTGAAACCATAATATGGCAGGACAGTTGTCCGTGGGAGAATTAGAAACTTTGTTCCTTTAAAACTCACCACTTCCAAGGTGCGTTTGCATATTCTCAGCATTGTACAGCAGGACACTTTGAAAAAAGACATTTCTTTGTCCTTCCCAGGAACCATTTTAAACTTGATGAACAGCAAGGGGTCACTGTTGACTCTATCAGTGCATGTATTTCATGAGACCCAGAGGTTTGGGACCAAAACCACCTGCACAAGGGTGGGCCTGTGTGGTAGTTGTAGCTGCTCATTGCTGCCTGTGAAAAGGAAAAAGATTCTTCCCAATTTCTCTCCTGATTTCCTTCCCGCCGGAGTTTACATTTCAGTTGCTTTTCATCCACATATAAACCCTATCCCTCTATGGGCCAGCCTGGGCTCCCTGGGAACATTCATGCATGGTTTACACATATGACGCCTGGGGTTTGGGGCTCATGGGTCCCCCGCTGAAGGAAGCTGGGGCCTGGGAGGGGGAGGGAAGCCACGTTCACTGCCTCCCTGCACTCCTCTGCACAGGTGCCTATGACATGCTTGACCTCAAGATCCTGATTGCCATTGGTGGCAGCTTATTGATTGTCACGATTGTGCTGATGGCTGTTGTCCTCTGTCTTTACTACAAACTATTCCGCACATTAAAGTGAGTGATGTGGATAAGACTGAAAATGAAAAGCACCCCCTCAAATAGGATGCTCCCTGCCTGAGCAGGGTCATCCCTTGCCCTGTGCCCACACCCAGGGGGGAGGTCAGGAGCAGCAGGTAGGTCTGAAAACTCGAAGATAGGTGAGTGTGGAATCTTGGGTTTTCCCCCTTCTGGCTTAGGGCTGTGAGCTCATAAGTAGAATGTTCTCAGCGTGGGGGGGGGGGGGCTGCTGCTGTGATGCTTTGCTCCACTACCCTCCCCGAGTGGACCCTCAGCCGGCTTACTCCTCACACTGGCTGTGCCCTCCCTCTGTCCCAGGCACTGCAGACTGTGCGGGAGGCTGTGGGTGAGTCTGTGCCTGGGATTCACTCAGAGGACAGGCTGGATTGACCTCCTCTTAGCGGAGTTGGGGGAGCCGTCAGGGGGTTCTCTCCTTCACGTGCATGGCCCTGGGGGCAGTGAGGTGGGCCTGGAGGACTGTGGGGAAGCTGAGCTGGGTGAAGGTCCCGGGGACACCTGACAGGGGAGTGCAGCCCAGACAAAAGATCATTAACTTTGGGGGAGAGGAACCCTGGAGCCTGGGAGAGAGATGGGTCGTGAAGCCGTGCTGTTCCCGTCCTAGGGAAGTGAAGCCTGTGAGCTGG